CCCCAGGCCCCTCTCTGCCTAGGCCCCCAGAGCCCCGGCACCCTCCCTCCCCTCTGCCCAGGACCCCAGGCCCCCAGCACCCGCGCCGTCCAGGCCCCCAGAGCCCCGGCACCCTCTCTACCCAGGCCCCTCCCTGCCCAGGACCCCAGGACCCCAGCACCCCCGCCGTCCAGGCCCCCAGAGCCCCACCCTCCCCGCCCAGGCCCCCGGCACCCTCGCCGCGCACCCTCGTAGGACGAGCGCCATTCAGCCTTGTGCTTCTTGTGCTTCTTGCCCATGACAGCGGCGGSGGCGGACCCGCGGGAGCGCGGCCGCCCGAGGCCCGGCCCGCGCCCGCCGGAAGTGGCTCCGGAAGTGGCTCCGCAGCCGCCGAGCGCTTCCGGGTCAGGGAGCTGTGCTCCGCGCGCGGCAGATTCGAAGCGGCGCGGGGAATGGACGAGGCGGTGGGCGACCTGAAGCAGGCGCTGCCCTGCGTGGCCGAGGCGCCCGCCGTGCACGTGGAGGTGCTGCAGCGCGGCGGCAGGTGTGCGGCCAGGGCGGGGGCCGGGACCCCGAGTACCTGCAGGGTGACCCCCAGACCTGCATTGGACTCCAGGGGTGGGGGACGCCAGGGACAGGGGCCGAAATCCTACCTGTGCGGGGACTCCAGGACTCCAGTGGGCCAGGTACCAGGACCCCCAGTACCTGCACCCTACTACCTCCAGCAGGTTCCTCAGTGTGCTGGGGCAGTGCCCAGGCAGGTGCAGAGGCCAGGCTGCAGGAGAGGGGAAGCCTTGGGAGGACGTGGRTGGTGGCATGGTGGGCTGAGGGGAGCCCGGAGCTGGTCGAGCACCTCAGCCACAGGTGTTAGGCTCTTGCTGTGCCAGAACAAGCAATGGCCCCCCTGTGTAAGTGCTCACCCATTCTGGCCTTCCTCTGGCACTGCTAATCTTCAAGGTAACTGCCTGGCAAGGCCTCCTGGTATCACCCCCTTTGTCCAGTTTGGAACTGAGGGTGGCTTCCTGAGGTCACATAGCTGCAGTGGAGCTGCAGGCCGGGGGTGGCCCTGGAGTTGATCCCCAGGCAGGCCACCCCCAGCCAGTTCTTGACTAATGGCTCTTTTCTGAGCAGTCTGTTTTTGAAATTTTAAGAATGCCCCTGTGGCTCAGATCTGTTGTGTGCTGTGTGTTTTCCCAGCACTGCAAAGAAAGAAGACATTAAGCTGAGCGTCCGGAAGCTGCTCAAAAGGCACAACATCGTGTTTGGTGACTACACGTGGACCGAGTTTGATGAACCTTTTCTGACCAGAAATGTGCAGTCTGTGTCCATTGTTGACACAGAACTGAAGGCTAAAGACCCCCAGGTAACTTACTGGTCCACAGTGTCAGGAGCAGTTAACCCTCAGCCAGACACAGGATTGGTGTCATGAATATTTGTTGCTGTTGATAGCATTTCACTTGCTTATCTGTTGGTTCTGACTGTCTCTCCTGGAACCGGGTGCTGGGGCAAGACATGGCCTGGTGTCAGGAGGCTGTGGGTGCAGTGGGGCCCAGATGGGAATCCAGGCACTGGGATGCTATACTGCAGGCTAGTGGGCTGTCCTGGTGAGCCTTGGGTTTAGGTGCTGGGTGAAGGCGTCAGGACCCCAGGAGGTGTAGAGGCTGTAGGCTGGGGGGGTGGGCCTGCCTGTGGCAGCTCTTCCTGACATCCTGCTCGATAGCTGCCGTACCCAGCATCTTACCAAGGTCATGTGGTCCCACATGTGTAAGCTTTTTGTGGGAGCGGTGCAAACTGGGTAGTCCTGTTATCAGTAAAAACCAGAAACGCATCCCTAAGGAGACAGCCCTGCTCGGCACTGTGCAACTCTTGCCTTTGAAGAGAGCTTGGCACTAGAACTGTGCGCGTGACACGGACTTCCGCGCTCGGCTGCTAGACTGGTGTTAGTGGCTCAGCATCCTCATCCAATCCTGCGAGAAAGCATTCGACCTTTCCAAGCTGGAGGACAGTCAAGAGGAAACCTGATGGCAAGAGGACCGCAAGCCCCACGTGTGAGGGCTGAGCCTGGCCCGGCGTGTCCCAGAGTGCAGCTTCGCTGGGTTGAGACTCSAGCGCTTTCCTCAAGGAGCTTGTGTCACTTGGCAGTGATTAAAAAAAAAGAACAGCAAAGTTTCTTCTGAAGTCGATACATGACCCAGCCCAGAGGGGAGGAATGAATTTATCCTAGACCCGAAGTAAGGCCACAGCTCTCCACCCACCCTGAGAAGGGGCTTTCATCGCACTGTGCTGTTGACCGAGGACCTCGGCCTTCCTGTGTGTGGCCGGCCTCGGGACTGACCGGCTCTCCCCTCACAGCCCATAGACTTGAGTGCCTGTGCGGTCGCGCTCCACATCTTCCAGCTGAATGAAGACGGCCCCAGCAGCGAGAACCTGGAGGAGGAGACAGAAAATATCATCGCAGCAAACCACTGGGTGCTGCCTGCAGGTACAGGCCAGGGGGCTGGKGCTGAGGGGCCAGGTTGCAGGGTGGCCTGCGGGACTCGCTGAGCCAGTTCACTGAGGTCCGTTCGTTAGATTTGTAGGACTGTAGGAAATCTCATCTCCTTTGAAGTGCAGAGCGTGGCTCTGTGATGGCTTGGTGTTACTGCAACTCATACCTGAAACAGTGAACTTGCAAGAGACAGAGTGTGTTGGGCTCAGGCCATGACAGTTGGCCCCTGACCTGGGGGCTGGGGTGCRGCAACACGCCACAGCTGGCAGTGTGTGGCAGAGCAGCCGCTCGCTCCACGGCTAGCTAAAAGTCAGCAGGAGACCCAGGGCCCACAGTCCCCTTCCCCAGCACACCTCCCCCTGGACCCATGTCTTAAAGGCCCCGCCACCCCCTGGTGGCACCCAGCTGAGGACCAAGCCTTCAGCGTGGCCTTTGAGGGATGTGGCCTGTTCGTGCTCCAGCAATTACACACAAGGAAGTGGCACTCCCCACGTGTCTGCCTTGTCCTCAGGGTACCCTGTCCTGCTCTTCCCTGCCCAGCTGGTCTCCCCTCTGAGAGCTCCTTCTACCCTCTGCATGCTCTGCTGTGGACTCAGGTGGAGCTCAGGGTGGCTTCCCAGCGGCACCCTGTTGGTGGGGAGAGCGCACGTTAAAGAAGAGGGGGATGATAGCGAGATGGGGGACACGTTCTTCTCCTTCCAGTCACCTGGCAAAAGCCATCTGACTGGCGCTTGTTTTGGATCTTTAACCCAAGAAAGGCTGGGCTTTGAAGGAAAGTGTGGACGCTGCCCTGGCCTGCTGGCACCCTGGCCTGCCCTGGGAGAAGGCCTGGAGGGCCGCGGGCGTGGGCCAGCCCGGCAGGCCAGGGTGGTCCTCCTAACTCCCGCGGGCTTCTGTGTCACAGCTGAGTTCCATGGGCTCTGGGACAGCCTGGTGTACGACGTGGAAGTCAAGTCGCACGTAAGTCACCTCCTTGGGGGAGGCGCGACTGCCACCTGCAGTCCCTGAGCCATCAGCTTGAGAGGCACTGGGGCTCCTTGCCCCAGCACTGCCCTAAAAGCACAGAGCTGATCTCCAGGCAGCTCCCTGAGGAGGAGAGGGGAAGGAAGTGGCTGGAGGGGGCAGGCCCAGACTAGGGCCCGTGTGGTCTCCCAGGGGGCACGCTAGGGGTTCACCTGACCCTGCACATGCCTGTGGGCCCTGCCCATCACTGGAGGGAGGCCTGTTGGCTGGTGACCCTGCACAGTTTGTTTTCTGTGGCATTTTAAGTGACAGCGGGTGTTTGTGGGTAGCATGTACAGCCACGACCACCCTACCTCGTGGCTCCTCCTATCGGGAGAGCCACATGGCTGCTGCATGTTGGGAGTGGTGTCCAGCCAGGTGGCTGCTGTCCCAGCCCTTGCTTGGGAACAGTCTGTGGGGAGCCTCATCTGCACCCTCTGGCACCAGCTCCTGGATTACGTGACGACGACCTTGCTGTTCTCAGACAAGAACGTGGACAGCAACCTCATCACCTGGAACCGTGTGGTGCTGCTGCACGGTAAGCCACRTCCACACCTGCTGGCAAGCCAGCCCCAGCCACCTCCCCACGCTGGCGCTCCTGCCCACCCCCGTCCTGTCCTGGTCTGCTGGCTCCAGCTCCCGTTCTTGTTGTTTTGGGTTTTGAAGACCCATATTTATCTATTTTTATGTGGTACTTTGAACCCAGTGCCTCACACATGCGAGGCAAGTAAGTGCTCTGCCACTGAGCCCCAGCCCCAGCCTCGTCCTTGGCGTATGATTGGCCCTTTTTCCCCAGCTGACTACAGCTCTTGGGACGAGCCGCCTGGTCTCTCTCAGCGGTGTTCTGGGAGCTGCACGTAGTGGGCATAGACTAAAAGGCCGTGTGTGTAAGACATTTTGTCAGGTCTTAGGAGAACGCCTTGGGAGTTTGTTTTCTTCCCGACGTCCTAGGTAGAAGAGGACAAAGTGGTGAGGCCAAGTCATGGTGAGGTGCAGGCTCAGTGCTCAGCCTCCTTGTGCCGGTGAAGACCGTGAGGCATCCACAGCCTCTGAGCACCCTTAACCAGCAGACACCCATGCTGCCCTAGAGGGCCAGGGAGGCCAGTTGGCAGGCACCTCCAACAGGGCAGTAGTGGGCCTTCTGCCGGGTGCCACTTCGCGGGCTCTGTGGCAATGACAGACTGTGATAGGTGGGCAGACCTCCACCCCAAGGTTGGGTTGGTTTCCCGTCCCCCTCAGAGCTGCCTCTGTGTGGTGCAGGGGACAGGGGAAGAGCAGGTCCTGTCCGTGCTCTGTCTATCTCCCCATCCCCTTCAGAGCTGCCCGCGCTGTCTCCCCGCCCCCTCAGAGCTCCTCTGTGTGGTGCAGGGGACAGGGGAAGAGCAGGTCCTGGCCACGGTGTCATTCACGTCGCCTGACACTGAGGACATGGACCTCTGGAGGGAGGGCTTGTTTGGGGCAGAGAGTGGCGCTGTTGGCACAGGGAGCAGAGGCCTGAGAAGGGTGTGCCTGGGTGTGGAGCGCACCCAGGGACCAGCCTGGCACAGAGGCGGCCCTCCACAGTGGAGCTGCTCACAGCCTCATCGGGGACGCAGGTTCACAGCAGCAGGGCACCCTTGGCGTGACTGACCTCTGTTGTCATGAGCGACTTGTGCCCTGCTGGCTTAGGCGTCTGCTTGGCTGTTATAGGGCCTCCAGGAACTGGGAAGACGTCCCTGTGCAAGGCCCTGGCCCAGAAGCTCACCATCAGACTGTCGAGCAGGTAACCAGGCCTGGGGCCCAGCAGGCGCGGGGCCTGCGGGCGGGGTCTCCCGGGTGGGAACTTGCCACACTGGGCACTGGACCTAAGGCACTCCACCATTGCGCGGAGTGGCCGTGGGCGTGCCGTCCCCTGCCTCGGCCTCCCGAGCTGCTAGGTTACGGGCGTAGCTTCATCACCAGGCTTCAGACTCTATTTTCAATTTCGTCACGTGAGTAATAGGCTCCTCTCCTTCAGGGCGGTTCCTGCTCTGTGCCCAGCAGTCCTGCCCACCCACAGGCCGGCCAGGTGCTCTGGGCAGAGCCGTGGGGCTGGCACCCCTGCTCCGCAGTCCTGTTGACTTCTGACTGTCTGTCCATTCTTTGTCAGAGACAGTGTCACAGTCCCTGGGACCCCTCCTCTTGGACTGCGTCAGCTGGGGTCTTCGCCCTGTTGGGAAGTGATGCTTGTTCTTCTCACAGTCCCCTGCCCCCACCTGGCRTCCTTGGCTGGGATGCTAAACATGGCGGTTGCTGTGCTGCAACTCTTTTGACCCCCGAGTATCTCTCCGGCTTCCTGTCCACTGGTGTTCCTCCCTGAAGAGCTCATCAGTGGCTTGTGTGCCTGTCCTGTGCTCTCTCTGTCCTGTTGCTCTCCTGGCCAGTGCACAACTTCTGCTCGCTGTCCTACCCACTGTGGGCATCAGCTCCGTGTCGGCACTGCAGCTGCCCTCTTCTGGTGGCCACGCTGCTGCTGCCCCCTGAGCCCTGGGCTCCTAGCAGAATCCTCCAGACTTGGCTCCTTCCTCGTCACCAACCTTGTTCTGGTTTCTTCAGCTGCTTGTGACCGGGGCCAGCCTTGCAGAAGGAGCCAGTGCCGTGCTGTGTAGTGCCAGGTGCTGGGCCACTCTTCACGGCCCTTGGACTCGGTTCCCAGCTCACAGGCTCTCCTGCTCCCGTGCCTCTGTCCAGCAGGGACTGGGGACCCCACGCCACTTTATGGGGATTTATGTCCTCGTCTTCTTCCCGGGAACTGTACCCTTCAGCCTGCTTCCCACCTCTGACCCGTGACCGCTGACCCTTGTCCTTTGTCTCCTCAGCTCAGCAAGGTGCATGCTCTGTCTTAGTTCCTTCCAGGCCTGTGAGTGGGGGTGCTTCCCATCCCTGTTCCCCAGGTTCCGGGTCACCGCCCTCCACTGCCAGCCAGGCAGCTGCTCTGGCCCCCGTCCCTGTTCCCCAGGTCCCAGGTCACTGCTCTCCACTCCTGCCAGGGGGGCTGCTCTGGCCTCCTGTCCCTGTTCCCCAGGTCCCGGGTCACCTCCCTCCACTCCTGCCAGGGGGGCTTCTTTGGCCTCCTGTCCCTGTTCCCTGAATCCTGAGGTCACCACCCTCCACTCCTGCCAGGGGGTGCTCTGGCCCCCTGTCCCTGTTCCCCAGGTCCCGGGGTCACTGCCCTCCACTCCCGGCCAGGCGGGCTGCTCTGGCCTTGTCTGTCTTTCTCGTGTTCGGCCTCCTTAGGCATTAGAGGCCGGTGGGTCGCACCTCTTCCTGTCAGGAGTGGCAGCTGGTTGTTTTCAGGGATTGAAACGGATCCGTGTTTTAAGAACCAAACTCCAAGGGCAGCTTCCTGAAGCAGAGAGGAGAGCCACTGTAGGAAGCAGCTCCTCTGCTGGGGAGGGCAGGAAGCACGTGTGTGGCCCCTGAGCCATGCCTAAATGGCGGTGTCTTGACAGGCGTCCTGCACTCTGTGGTCAGAACGTCTCATGGCCAGCTTGTTAGGGACAGTCTGTTTTGTTAGGGTGACTTTGCTCTTCCTCGTACACAGGATAAGCGTCTGCTTCTCTTTACAGGGAGCCAGTGATGCCCTTGGAAATAATTCTTCTGTGGACTTGGGGCGGGGAAGCCGGGGAGGGAGCTGGGGACTGCTGCCCGCTGCGGGTCAGGAGCTGAGTGTGCTGCTGTCCCGCTGCCCCAAGGGACAGCCTCCGTGTGAGACAGTGGCCAGGTGTGGGTGGTGTGGTGCGTGCCAGGCCTCCAGCATCCCTGGCCAGGGTCTGCTGGGAGGAGGACGGCCACACTGCTAGGGTGGGTGGGAGGACCAGCGTTGGACCAGCATTTGACCAGCCAGTCTCCCCACACTCCATCTGTTTGCTGTGTTGGTGGTGGTGGTTCTTTTTGTACGTGGAAATGTAAATTATGAGTAGTTTAAATTGAGAATTTTTAAAATGCTTTTAGTTGTAGATGAATATGAGACCTTGATTATATTTGTTTAGTTATTTTTATGTGGTACGAGGATTGAACCCAGGGCTTCACACATGCTAGGCAAACGCTCTGCTGCTGAGCCACAACCCCAGCCTCGAGAAATTTTACTATTTAATCCAGTGGTGTTATGGGAAGAAATTGCTTTGATTTGGAACCATTGATTGCACCTTGGTTACTCAGTACCAGAGCTGGGTCCCTAGTGCCTGCCACCTGCTGTGAAGCCCTGCTGAGCTGACGGCCCGCGGGCTGGATTGAGCCTGCCGCCGGGCTGGTTCTGAAGTAGCTCTCCTCCGTCCTGCTGTCTTAGGTACCGGTATGGCCAGCTAATTGAAATAAACAGCCACAGCCTCTTCTCTAAGTGGTTTTCAGAAGTGAGTACTGACCGTCCTCTTTGTCTGGCTGTCTGTCCCACATGGTTGAGAAGCACAGTACTCCAGGACAGTGGGGAGCAGGGCAGTGCCTGGTTGGAACAGGGCTGGGCAATAGGCCTGGCCACCCCCTGCCTGGTTGGAAGGTTGCAGAAATGCTTAGCATCTCCTGGGGACTGTGCCCCCTGCTGAGCAGCCCAGAGGGTGACCCTTAACTTTGAAGGGCCATGCCCAGGGCTCTGGTCAGTGTGGCTGGTGCAGAGTGTACCCTGGCCAGTGTGCATGCCAGCACCAAGGGCCTGTGCCCTGACTCATGGAGCAGTGGGGGGGGGGGCTGGGCCCCTCCTACATAGGGGGGCTTTGGGGGGCACCATCAGGAGGCTGGGCTCTTGGGCTACTAGGGTGGGTGGTGCCGTGAGCACCTGTGGCTTGGGAGCTACAGGCGGTCCTCAGGGAGGTTGTGGTTGCAGAGTGGCAAGCTGGTGACCAGGATGTTCCAGAAGATCCAGGACCTGATTGACGACAAGGAAGCGCTGGTGTTCGTGCTGATTGACGAGGTGAGCTCTCGCAGGCAGCTGCCTCTTGCTGTTGCTGGCTCAGGCCTGCCCCGCCTGCTGGGCTGCCACCTCGGCCTGCCACCCGGGCCCGTGGTGCTACAGGACTTCTCCCCAGCACACCCAGCCCTGGGCAGCCACCGCAGGCCTCTTCAGTCTCCACCCACTGTTGCAGTGTCCCTTGGCTGCCAAGAGATGCTAGGTGCCACCCTCCCAGCTGTCACTCTGTCCCTGCAGGTGGAGAGTCTCACAGCAGCACGCAGTGCCTGCAGGGCTGGTGCCGAGCCCTCGGATGCTATCCGCGTGGTCAACGCCCTCTTGACCCAGATCGATCAGATCAAAAGGTGATGCTGGATGCTGGGCCAGGCTGCACCATGAGCAGCCAGGGTGAAGTGACAGGGCTCTCGGCTCCTGTCACCGCTGGTCTCTTGGCCACAGAGGCACTCCGTGCCGAGTACTGGCCGTTTCCCACTTGGATTTACTTCATTTCGAACATTAAAAACACAAAACAAAAGCTGGGGTGGGAAAGCTTGGTGCTTTGGGGTGCAAAGCTGATTGAGGCCTGCGTCTGGGGTGGAGCCAGCGCCAGGCCTGCCTGTCCTGAGTGCACCTGAGGGTGGGCGGGCCTCAGGGCAGGTGCCAGGGGTGCCTTAGACATGGCGGAAGGACGGTGCCCAGAATGAGGTTCTCACTGAGTCAAGAGGGGCGAGAGGCGAGTCGGGAGTTCCTGGGAGAGTGTCCTGGGTGTCCAGAGGTGGAGCTCAGTTTTGCAGCCCTGCAGGGTTTGCCAGATGCAGTGTGGCAGTCAGGAGGGCACTGGGTGACCATGGTCTTGCCCCCCACCACAACAGGCATTCCAACGTGGTGATTCTGACCACCTCCAACATCACCGAGAAGATCGACGCAGCCTTTGTGGACAGGGCTGACATCAAGCAGTACATCGGGCCGCCCTCTGCTGCAGCCATCTTCAAGATCTACCTCTCCTGTCTGGAGGAGCTGATGAAGGTACTGGGCTTCATTCATGTCTTTACCTGACTAAATAGCTGGAGTCAACCAGTTTCAACCTAGAGGAGGGTGTTCGACAGCCTAACCCTCTTCTAGGTTAAAGGTGTGGTTTTCTTCTGGCAGGTTGGGTTGTGGGTCTCAGTTACGGGTACTGACAGTACTTCTGTTCTTAGAACAGAGTGACCCTTGCTTTTTGTTACCAGAGGTGATGGTGGGCAGGAGGTTGGGAGTGGGCCACGGTCAGCTGCTGGGGCACCTGACTCCTGCCTGCACTCTCGCTCTGAGTGACTGCCTCCCTGGTCTGACTTCCTTCTGTGAGAAGAGGGAAGAGTGCAGGTTTGACTCATAGTCACATGACTGCAGGTCACGATCACACGTCATCTTCTCCACTGAGTGGCTCTTGGCTGTCCTGTATCCTGAGCTGCCAGAGTGTGTGCTGAGCCTTGAGCAGGGAGCCCCGTTGCCCCAGGCAAGCCAGCAGACTTGGCCCAGGGCTGGGTGTGCTGGGGCCTTGCCGCCCACTGGCAGGGCACAGTTTTCCCACCTGCAGCCCCTGCCAGCAGCAGAGAGCAGGGGCCTGACTGTGCCCACCAGGAAGGGCACGGCCTCCCATGAATGTGGCGAGAGCTGTCCCAGCATGACCCCCTGAAGGTGCCCAGTCAGCACTGTCCTGGCATGGGTGCCCAGCCTGCCTCTGTGTGGAGCGTGTGCTCTGAGGGCCGCTGCAGGAGTGTGTGTTCTGAGGAGAGGCTCTGGCTCGGCCTTACCGCAAGGGGCTCATCATACTTGGGCCCCAGGAGCAGGCTGGTGTCCTCGGGGCCTCTGGCCTCACCATGGGTCCCTGGCTGCTGTGCGGTGAGCCTGGGTGCTCTGATGTGGCTCAGAGGTCCCAACTTTCCCTGGGATTGAGAGCAGGGACATTGGGCCAGTCCTGAGGCCTGGGGAGTCCCTGGATGCCACTCCCTCAGGACTCCTGTGCCTCTGGCCAGCGCATTCATGGGAGGCAGAGCAGGCCAGGGTGCAGGACACCATGGGGAGCCCAGGGAGGCCATTGAGCCTGAGGAGCCCTCCCGAACCTGCAGGTGTGCAGGGAGAAGCTGTCTGCTGGTCCTGGTCATGTGCCTGGGGCCGGGACAGCTGCTCAGCAGTATGACCTCCAGGCAGCCGTCCCCAGGTGAGCTCAGGTGCCACTGCTTGGGCTGTCCTTGGCTAAACGGGTCATGTCCAGAAACACAGGACCCTTCCTGGAAAGGACTGAAGCCCTGGCTGTGGGCACTCTGCCCCTGTGGGTTTGATATGTTTGTACAGCCAGGGGACAGGGCTGCAGCCCAGCACTGGTGTAGAGAGGGGCTCTCCTGGCCCAGCCCCAGGGGAAGGGCGTCACTGCTGCCTGAGGGCGCGGACTCACAGACTAGGGACATTGAGCAGCTGCTTCCTGTGCAGCTTCCCGTGAAGCTTGTTCTTTGGAGGCTGACCTGATTTGTATTTGGCCTTCGTTGGCCTTGCGCCCTGTGTAACTGTGTGCCTCTGTCCCCAGTGCCAGATCATATACCCCCGCCAGCAGCTTCTGACTCTCCGAGAGCTAGAGATGATCGGCTTCATTGAAAACAACGTGTCCAAGTTGAGCCTCCTTCTGAGTGAAATTTCAAGGTGCAGATTGAGCTCAGTTTTGCAACCAAGAAAAATGCATTTGCTGAAGTAACTGGGGAGGTGGGGAGGGCTTGGAGGTGAGCTCTCTAGGCAGCAGAGGAAGACGTGTGTGTGCACACGGGTCAGGCAGGCAGAGTGCAACCTCCTCCCAAAGGCTCTATGACACATGAGCCCTCCAGATGGCCCTTGGTGAGGGGCGGTGGAGCACGAGGCAGGACCTGGCAGGACGGTGGAGTGTGGTTGCAGGTGCAGAGGCCCGCCTCACCTGGGCTGCACAGAGGCCAGCCGTGGTGCCGGAAGGCGGGTTCCTGTGGGGAGGGCTTTGGAAGGCTCTGGTTGAGGGCTGACTGAAGGAGACTTGCTGAAACAGGAACAGTTCAGACATGGCCACATGGCCTGGTCACTGGGGACTGGGCTGGCCCAGGCCTCCCTGCAGTGTGCCACTGCCCACTTGGAGCAGGACTGACAACAGGGCCTTGCACCCATGAGACCACGGTTGTGTTTTGAGGTCACCTCACCACCTCCAGGCTCAGGTTTTGGAGTGCCAAGGGATACTGGTCCTGAAGCCACTGAGCTGTACACCTCTGAGCCTGGTTGTTCTCACACAGGAAGAGCGAGGGCCTGAGTGGCCGGGTCTTGAGGAAGCTCCCTTTCCTGGCTCATGCACTATACATCCAGGTGAGTCCCAGGCCGCCCCTCCTGCCCTGTCCACCCCAGCGGGCAGCATCAATGTCTCCTGACTCTCCAGGTAGGGGAATGGGCCTGAGTCTTCAGTGTGGGTTGTCTGGAGCCCTGGGGAGCAGTGGCCATGACGGGTCTGTTCACGCCGGCACACACACAGGCACAGCAGAGCCTGCGCAAGTCACGTCCACATCTGCCATGGGCACAAGCCGGTGCAGGGTCTGTTCAGCCCACTGGCTACTGAGCCCCCATTGCCATTGGGCGGGGTGGTTGCTGCCAGGTATCCATAGCAGCACATGGTACCACCCAGCACCCTGACTGTGTGTCTTTCCAGGCCCCCACCGTCACCATCGAGGGCTTCCTCCAGGCGCTGTCTCTGGCGGTGGACAAGCAGTTTGAAGAGAAGAAGAAGCTCTCACCCTGTATTTGACCCTGGGTGGCATGTCTGTCTCAGCTGCCCTCTGGAACCCACTAACCTACCGGGGTGCACAGGCCAGAGCTCGGGCACAGGTGCCTCGTCGGAGCCAGGACCTGTTCTCGTCATCTAAATGCGTGTCAGAGGCAAGCAGCCTGTTCTCTTCGTTGTTTTTAGAAGATAGTTCAAATTCCGTTGGCCTCTTTGTAAAGAACTGTCTCAATGTGTCTGTTTCCATCCTGTCTGGCCAGTCAGACGCAGGGTGCTCACCAGAGCTGTTGAGAGAAGGGAAGTGGAGCAGGCCTGACCCTAAGCCAGCACAGAGGTGGGAGGGCCCAGCCACCTTCCAACCTGAGTGATTTAACGGGTCAAGAAAACTGTTCCCATGTAGCAGAAGTTGGGAAGGAGATTCCAGGCAGGAAGCCTTGCGTGGCCAGGTGCTGCCTGTTGGAGGGCACTGTGCAAATGCTCCTGGCCAAGCACCCTACCCCGGCTGAGCCTGCTGGTGCAGGGCGGCAGGTGAGGTCCTGCAGGCTGGCTTGCTCCATGGCGACGGGAGGCAAGTGGGTGGGTAATGGAGTGCTCCGTGAAAGCTCCTCTTGCTCCTATCTTGGGCCAGAATGTTGATGTGGCGTCTGCCTAGAAAACAGGTGTTACCTGTTATCGTGGAATTTCTGAAACATCGTCTGCTGTCAGAAGCTTTCTTGTTTGATTCCCACGTCTCCAGCACTGAGTCGTACTGAGGCTTGCTCAGGTGCCCCTTGCAGTCCCACCTGCCTTCGCCGAGGGCCTCTAAAGGCAGTGCTGGCCAGCAGCAGCAACACTTGCTTCAGGAGCCGTTGCAGGCGGAGGCGCTGGGTTTGGAGCGAGCACCGAGGCTTGACGCCCGCAGATTCTAGTCTCTGCCTTCTGCTGGGCCTCGACTCCTGGAGCCACCCTCTCTGGGAAAGCTGAGCCCAGCCCTGGTCCCCGACACCCATGGAAGGCCACAGGCAGTGGGCAGAGCAGTAAGAGGTCTGTCCACCCTGAGTGGCCAACAGCCATTCTCCAGGAGGCCCTGGAGTCCAGCGGGCAAGGTGACCATTGTGCCCACATTCTTGTGAGAAAGGGTCTTAGCATTCTAAGACAGCTGGAGCAGGAAGGTAAAGCACCCCTCTGCAGTGGACGCAGGTGTGTGTCCAGGAGACAAGTGTCGTCAGCAGGGGGCTCCACCCCACAGTGACCTCCTGCGAGGCTGTGAGGGCAGGCTCCATCCTCTGGAGTGCTCAGCTGACTTCCAACAGCCACTTGGGGCCTGTGGGCCCTGCTAGGCTCTTGGGGCCTGTTCCAAGCTTCAGGGTGGTCAGGGAAGCCCTTCTGGGGAGCTGGTTTGGTGCAGTCCCAGAGGGGACCCTGTGTGTCTCCGGCTCGCCCTCCACGTTCACAGAGCCATTTGCTCTGGTGGCTGTGGGCCGTTCTGTGGGATCCCAGCTGGGCTCCTTCCCTGGTGTCTCCTTAGTGGGCTCGGCCCTGTGCCCATCTGCCCCCTCTGTGAGCTCCCCACTCCCGCAAGCTGCACCCCGGGCTCCAGCCCCCATCCTGCTGGTCTCTGACCTCTGCCTCCCCCAGGGGGAGGCCGCTGGCTGAGCACGGCTCCCTCACGGCCCACTTGGCCTCGCGGGACTTCCTGGCTGCCACTCTGGGGTGGCAGTCCTGTGACTGCGGCAGTGTCTTCAAGGCCTTCTGCGCTGCCTGGCCTTCCAGCTCCTGTCAGGGAGGTCAGCACGCACTCTTGCCAGCAGGCCCTGGCCGAGTCCCCTCCACGCTGCCCACCAGCAGCCCCTGGGCTCCAGCTTCCTCTGGGTGGGGGGTGCTCAGGCACCAAGCAGAAGCCTGAGGAGAGCAATCTCAGTCCAGCGACTGGGCCTGAGTGAGGCAGCGCAGCCTGAGGAGGAAAGCAGCTCAGGGCTCGGACCCCAGAGTCATGCCCAGCCACACCCCCTGCCTCAGTCATGCACACGCACACGCACCTTCCCCAGCAGGGGATTAATGCACTGACTGGGTTACAGCTCTCAGCCCCCACCTCACCTCTGAACTTTCCTTCTTGGTCCTCACTGAGTGTTTATGGACACCTCCTGTTTGACCTAAGGGTCAGCACGTGAAGGCCACAGCCAGGTGCTGTGCAGACCTGCCCCAGCATGCCTGGTTCCCCCAGACAGCCTGAGTCCAGGAGGTTCCTGGACACAGCTGCGTGGTCATCTGCAGGTGCTTCCGCACCAAGCTGAGTGGAGGGGCTTCTGGGTCACAGCCAAACCTCTTACAGTCTGTTTAACACACCTGGACCCAGGCTCCATGATCCCTGGCTGTGAGTGGCTGCCCTAGGGCCAGGGGCTCACGCTGTGGGGCAAGGACCCCCTTCCCAGCCACTCAGAGGTGTGGGGGTGACCCTGTGCAGGCTGCTCCAGTGCTTATGGCCCCACCAGCTCTGCTTTTCTGAGCACTGGGGCTGGGCTGGGTGGGTGACTAGGGAGGGGCCACCTCTTGTCCTCTGCTGTCAAGGTCCAGGTTAGTACCGAGGCTCTCTGTCCCAGGTCCTGTGCCTCAGCCTGTGCACATTGACTCCTGCAGAGCCTCTGTGCTGGGATCCTCCGTGCGGTGCTGCCCTGACCCTCCCTTGCTAGCCCTGCACATTGGTGGGGTGGTGCACACCCAGGTTCTGTCCCCATGCAGGCACCTTCAAGACCAGGGAGGTGGACCAGCCAAGGTCCTGGGAGTCCCTTGTGCCCATGGGCTGCTGCTCATTGCCATGGTAATGGAAGGCTCAGAGGTCTGGCTCCTGGTAGGAGGGTGACCAGTTCCAACAGATGGGCAACCTAGGGTCTTGGGGTGGTTGCTCCTTTATTGCAGGGCCAGAAGGAAACCTCTGGAAGTAACTCCAGTGCCTGCGCAGACAAGAAGGCGTACAGATGCCTGGGTGAAGCCTGCTGTCTGCATGCTGTGGGGCACACTTTCTTGTGTGACTGCAGATGTCCCTGGTCCCTTGCTCCCCGCCCCTCCACTTCCCACCAGTCAGTCTCTGTCCTGTTTGTGCACCATGGGACACCAAGGCTCGTGGCCCACATCTCTCCCTCTTCTGTGGTGACTGGTTGCAGTGGCGAGGATGCGTCCTCTGACCCCTGGACCGCAGTTGCTGAGAACACATGGCCCTTGTCATGCCCCCGACAGAGAGTGGCCTGGATGATGTCCCTGCTGTTCCAGAGGTAGCTAAGGCAGCTGTGGGGGTGTGGGGCAGGATGAGGGACCGAGGGCATGATGTGGAGAGCCTTGCATGGCTGGCCCAGGACCTGTGCGTGGCTTGTGAGCCAGAGTACACTTGCACCAGGACTTCCATGGCTGAGACCATGCCCAGCCAGGGGCCTGATGGGGCCGGCCCCTATCCAGACCCATTCGTACCTGGCCAGAACACAACACCTATGGGCAAGGTCAGCAGCACTTCCCAGAGAGTAGATGCACTGGACAAAAGGTCCCGAAGCCCCCAAGGGAATGAGAGGGTCCCAGGGCACTGGGGTTAGGACAGGGTGAGAGAGGGGTGCTGCACGTTGCAGGACTCAGCTGGGGTGGGTGAGGACCTTGGGTCTGCAGCTGAGGTGCCTAACATCCACGGGCCGGGATGGAGGGTGGGAGACGTGGGGACTGAGGGCAGGGAGAGGCTGGGACACCAGGGTCTCAAGGCAGAGTGGAGCAGCCATCAGAGTCCAGGCCCTGCAGGTTGAGGACCACCAGAGACCACCCCTTTCCCGAAAGTGCATTCTGGGACCTGAGCTGGTAGTGTGGGTCTGCCTCCGGCCACCAGAGTGCAGCCCCATCCCATGGGCAGGACAGGCCCTGAGCAGCTGGGGCCCCATGAGCCCCTTGTGCAGAGGCTGTTCAGCCGCTCCCCACAGCTGTGTGCATCTTAGGGGAGGGCTGGGTCCTGGAGAAACCACAGCCACCAGCCCCCTCAGCAGGGACTTGGACTCCTCCCTGGCTGGCCTGGGCACTTTCTGGCCATGCTGGGTAGGGCACTAACATGGCTCAGAGGTTCAGGGATGGCATTGGGAAGAGGAGTCCTGGAGTTGGCTGTTGACGCCTGTCCCCAGCAGAGCCCTCCTCTGGAAGGTGACTGGCTCAGGAGACTCGTGGACTGGGGACACCCTCATGCAGCAGCTGTGAAGGGGAGCAGGCGCCCCTCCTCAGCCATGGCAACCTCTGGTGCTGCCAGGGCCCCAGGACACCTGGGGGAAGGTGCAGTGACTCCACAGGCTCCTAGTGCCCAGCAGCAGTGAGCCAGCACCACCCAGGGAGCTGTGGCTGAGCATGGAGACCACAAGGGCTTCCTGGCCATGCCAGGCATGGAGGTGCAGGGCAGGGTTGTCCGGGTGGAGTCCACAGTTCCCATGGCAGCGTCCCGTTCTGCAGGGCTGGGCCCCTCCAGCTAGAAGCATGTGGTGAGCCCAGCTGCCCTTGAAGGCTGGTCTGGTGTAGCACAGGAGGCAGAGCTGTGGCTCCCCAGGGATGGCAGCGACCCAACACTGGGGTCACCAGGCCCAATTCGGCAGCAAGCACCTCCAGCCTCTTGAGCTCCACTCCTCCCCCCACCACACCCCTGCCGCCAGCCCAGCCCCAGGCCACACCAACCTGCTGAGGGGTGCTGGTGCCAGCTGCTCCCTCGGGTAGGGTCACCATGTCCCCAGAGGGATGGCGCTGGGAATAACCAGTCTTGGGCAGAGTCAGTCTACTGTAGGCTCAGAACAAGCCTGGGGATTTGGAGGAGACTGGGAGCTCAGGGCCATCCAGGCAGACATCAGTCATGCCGTGTCTTCTCCCCTGCAAGATGAAGGGCACCAGTTTACACAGCGTGAGAAGTAAGTGCCGCGTCACAGGCAGGGCCACCAGCACCCTTGGGAGCTTGGCAGTGGGTGTGGGCACAGAGGCAGTGGAAGGGTTAGGGCTGAAAAACTCGGCCCAGCTCCCGTTCTTCCTGTGGAGAACTCCAGGCTGCAGGGAGTGGCCAGGAGGAGATTCCAGGCCACCGTGCAATGAGACCTCCTTGGTGACCGAGGTGCCAGCCAATGTGGGGGCTCAAGCATGACTCATGCTTAAGGAGCAGCACAAGAAACAGGCACTGGATCTGGAGGAGAGACCAGGAGCAGGGAGGACCAGCCAGCCCATGTCATGCTGACTCTGGACTGTGGGCTGGAGGCACAGGTGCTGTCCCAGCACCTGGAGGCCAGCTAGTCACCAGCTGGGAATGTTGACAGACTCCTGCCTCCAGGGTAGGTGTGAGCAGAGCCACTATCCTCTGCAGTCTGAGTCCTTCCAAAGGGTGGGCCTGGCTCCACAGGAGGACAGGTGGAGCAGGGTAAGGGGCAGTGGTCCTGCTGGTTGGCTGCTCTGGCGAGACTTGCTTTCTGTCCCATACACTCAGGGACATCCCACGTCTGTGACTGGGTCTGCTGTGAAGCAGGAGTGTCTGTGGCGTGTCCTGTGCTGC